CGTACCATCAGTGTTCACGATTCTCGATCACGAAATATCACTTTGTCCACTGAGAGAGCTATCCAAACTACACTTGAGAGCCTTATGTTTGAGTCCTATTTTAAATGAAACAACAGGTTTCTTTAGCTGAGATTCTGAATCGACGTTTGCTTCGCTCCAGATATCCAAATGCAGGATATAACCTTCTTCGATTTACTAAATGTTCTTAACACTGAGCCAGCAATACAAATAGCATGGTGGTAAGGTTGATTCACCGTAGGATAGTGGGTACGTCTTTTCCACAAGTATTAAATCTGCATTCGAGTTTCATGATGAAAGTCGACCATCTATCATCAAAGTCACATTGTGTTAGGAATTACCAAGGATGTATTACATAGTATAGGGACAACTAAAATTATCAGTTCTAGATTACAAGAAAACAATCAAAATCCTCTATTCTTTTATTGACTGAGAGATGGCTAAATGTAAGATGTTTAATCCCCACTTTTTCTGCTACCCAAAATATTTTATCGAATGATCCAACTATTGACACCAATAGTAAAATATCGACGCGTTCATTTTCTGGGTAACAAACTTAATAACAATTGTTTGGACAGTGTGTTACGATTTAATTAGTGACCGCACTATCGATTACGGTAGTTGAAATATATTTTAAATTAACTTGTTTGGTGGCTTCTAAAACCATACAATGTATGTTAACACCAATTAAAATGATTATTTTTATTAATTAGGAACGTTGGTTATATCCCAACAATGAAATATTCACGTTATAATTCAGATTATCACAGGATTATAATGAGCATATGACTGATTGAGTATGAGTAACTCAGATTTAGCTGAAACAATTTTGAGGCAACTGATATACAAAGTAAAAATTGGACAGTAATATAAAATAATAAGATGCTTAATTTACAATATTTGACAATTTATATATTAGTTGGACATTCTAACAAAGGACAAATCAGTGTATTCGAGTTGAACATTGGACGAAGCCTGATAAGAAAACTAATCAAATGCGTAACAAAAAAAATACTGCGTTGAGTGAAGTTATAAGTTTACTACCACCATTTTGTTCAAATCATTTCTACAGTTGTCCTGTGAACAGCACGATTCACTATGTTATCTGTTCATATATAGGGTAAGCTACAACAAAAATTCACACAGTAGTGGTTTAAACATTCACTAGTTACCCCAAGGACTGATGGTCTTGGACTCGAAACTGTGTGGGATATCCAGAGTTGGAAAGTCCCACAGTAAGATAAAACGATTATTCAGTACTTCATGGTTTTCAATGGATATCTAACTAAGATCACTTCATGATGACCAATAGTCTCCATAGATCTTCTACACTAATAATAGTTATACAACTTAGTTGAAATTTCAAGAGGTAAGTCCCAACGTTCTAATGAAAAAACGTGACCAGTAGAGTTGATGCACGTCAGTTACCCATCGATGACAACGGAGAACAATTACACAATATTGTGAGTTGATTGAAGTTAGAAACCTAAATCATTGAATGCCGATTCACTGGTCTAAACGTAAAGTCCTTCATACGAGGATTAAATATCCTGGGTTCGACCCCCGAAGGCTTTGTGAGTGCGCATTGTTGAGAAGTTCGATACAAAGACGAAACCAGTGTACAGCATCTTCTGGTTTCCAACAGTTGTTTAACTAGGGTGTAGACTGTAAGTCAGTAGAAACTGTTGAACAAAAATCAATTACAGAAAGAAAACAACGGATAATATTTATAATTACTATCAAAGAACTAACTAGTAAACAAACAAACGAACAAAAAAAACGCAACTAACCAAAGGAATAAAAAGGAACTATTCATGTACACATACATAGTTTGTAAATGGTCAGAAATAAGGTTACTTAAGTATTATTAGTGACGGTGGCCGTCATAAGTTTTGCTTTTTCACTGATAAACTTCAGAAACAAGAAAGTGACACAGAGAAAAAAGAAGAAATTGAAGTAATCTGACAACGGACAATAAAACAAATATACATACAGTTCGAACAAAGAAAGGTAGGAGAGTAACTAATAGAAAAAAATATCCCGGAGAAAAACGAATATCACCAACTAAATTAACAAATGAGAATGCGTTACAGACAAGGTTTATTAACAAACAAGTGGTGTGAGAAATGTATTAAAGTGTACGTTTTTGTTTATCATTAAGTATGACGTCCGAAGGGATTAATAAGGTTGTTATAGTAGGATAACAAAGCAAATTATACATACATTTTCATTTGCACTGGTGCGAATAAGTCTAGCAAGTGTATTATTGATCACATAATACTAATAATTTAGTACCGGTTCAAGACATAAGAACTGGTTATTTTGGTCAATATGAATGAGATCACATCACTTCATTTTGTGTGTTACTTACTGCTACTCTTTTTATTATACCTGCTACGACTATACTTGATTTAAAACAGCAGTTACTAGTAAGTTAGTTGATGTGGAGGAGGCTAGACATAGGAAAAAGGCATTCATAGTAGAGAGAGTATGCTTAAATAGATAACAAAGTTCCAATGATTTCTTAAAAAGATATAATAGAAACGAATAAAAACTGAAAAGAAAAAAATAAGAGACGTTGAATAATACGTTCAAAACGCTAAAAACTGGTTTTCATATGTGCATGTCCGGCAGTAGCAGTAGTATTAGTGGTAAAGGAAAAATTGTAGGAGTTAGAAACTAACGACAAGTGTGTGTGGAGGTGGGAGGGAAATGCTAAGCCACAGAAACTGATTTTCAAAAATTATGAAATATAGCACAGCATATTGTGAATGAACAGGTACTTCAAAATGACGGTAAAATTAAAACCTATGTAACGCTTTGGATATTTATCTTGTTATTTGTTCAACTGTTGACTCATATCATTATCATCTTTTGGTAAGATCCAGTACAAAGCACAGAACTAAGGGTATGCAGTATAGTATCCCGTATATCAAATGTGATTGCGGCAGGAGTGGGTAGGTGTATGTACGGAGAAATGTAAACAAAAATTTTCATTATCATCAGTTAATAAGTATCGTGTTGTTTATCATACACGAAAGGAAGAAAAAAACAACCTAGGAGGAATCGAAAGGTTACATTTCTTTACAAGTAGTTTAGTTTACGACATGTGTGTTTATAGTGAAAATATGTCAACCAGGACAAAACTGATCGAAAGACAAGTAGAAACTATTTTATAGACAAAATACAGTTCCCAATTGTTGTATCATCTCGCTGAATGCGTTAATTATAATAAAACAGTGAAAAAGCATATGATACACCCACACACAAAACACATGAGGAGAGTAGTTGTTACTTGAGCAGTGGACGCATTCATTATTATGGACAAGAAGATATCTCAAAAAACAGAAACCTCATCAGGTATTGAGTAAATATTTGTAACAAAATCTTTTTATTTTCAGAAGATTTGTGCATATAATTGAAGTAGTGTTTAAACTCGTTGTAAGTAATGTGTGCCTGTGCCGTCTATACACAAACAGTAAACGTAATAAGCAACCAAATAGTAAATACATGTGCTTGAGTTAATTTTAATTTATCAATGAAAATATTGTGTGCATTATTTGTGTAAAAGAAAATTAAGGAACAATAGTTATATATATAAGCATAAAAGTTTGAAATTGTATTGAAATATGATGAAATACCATTTGTTAGTAAGTTTGTTATTTATCGTTCTTTCCTCCAGACAGTTCTATGCTACGCACATATTATGATAAGCATTTATGGAAGCATGTATTACTATTGACAACGAACATAGTGATCATGGTATACGAGCAGGCAATCTGGCTTGATTGCCAGCAGTGTTTACACCTTGATATTGATATTTAGCCTTCTTTTCAGATGGTTTAAGTATCTAAAGTAAATAGATAGCCATAAGGCAAGCAAAAAGAAAAACAGAGAATAGTAAACTAGTCACTCAATCCCAACGAAACGATAATAATATACATTATGGTTTATATTAAAGGTGAAGCTTAATTAGACAGCCGTTAAAAACCGGTGAATACTGAACATTTATTTCCTGCTAGTCCAGTACTAGGACGAGACTACTTAGCAGTCTGCAACCACGACCTAATTAAGGATCAATCTCAGTAGTTACCTTCAGATTACAAAGTTAGCATCTGATTGTTTACCCTCTTTACTGCTGCTAATAATAATGAACTGACCACTGACTAATCCCGAGATGTATTTCCCGGAGTATTAGTGATAAGCTGTGACTAGTGTTCAGCCATATCAGGTGCGAAGTAGTTTCCTACTAATATCATGAAGCAACTGGAGTTAGGAATGTTATTCAGTGGATACCAATTCAGTGGTCTAAATGTAAAGCCCCATCAGAAAGAATCGAAGTCCCCAGTTTCGAACTCAAGCAAGGTTGTGTCTCTTGGTTTTTAATATATATATATAAATAAAAATAATATATTTGTAATATCCCAATGAGTAGAAAATTGGATTTTTCTGACGTTTCGTGGCTTAGTGTAAGTCACTTCTTCAATAGAAAAGAAGGCCTTACCATACATCCTACTTGGACCATCTATCCTAACCATTCAGTCTGATCGTATTTACAATTTCACACTATCATATTACAAATTTAAACTCTATCCTTTCTTACCATATAGGTCACACAGTTTTCATTCTTAAACAATGCACACACACATACATACACAAATTTACATACTCATCACTTATGAATCACCTTGACAGAAATGACATACATCAACTTGTTCAGACCTGTTTTTGATTGATCAAATATTATTCTTGCATTGTTCCGTTGTACTATTTAAACTTGGATTAATTTTAATTTGGTTATTTATTCTCTGAAGAAGTGACTTACACTAAGCCACCAAACGTCAGAAAATCCAATTTTCTACTCATTGGGATATTACAAATATATTATTTTTATTTATAACAATCAACCCAATGCTCAATTTATTCGAAATTATCAAATCAAACCTTGGTAATGACACTTATATATATATATATATATATATATATATATATATATATATATATATGGGTTGTTGCTAGAATGAAAGCTCGATTTCTAAAAATAATTGTTAATCAGAATATTATTTGTAGCCTTAAGGTCAGAAATAACTACATAATAAATAATCAATTAACATTACTGTGGTAAGTTTCATATCACTTCATATTGAATAATACAATAACTAATATTTATCTCATGTTAACGAAGCTATCCTAGAAAGGCCAACTTTCTTCATATATCTAAAGTCAGTCGCACATGGAATGATAAAGTCAAGGACTGGTTGATCAAGCTTTATGTGGGGAAGGCTCCCAGTGAACTCAAGAAAGTTCTGGAATAACCGAAGGCATTCCATCCAATCATCGTTTGGAAGGACATTCAAGAATTCCAGACTGGATAGATGCTAGAAACCACTGCCTGAGGGTTGGGTGATTGTAATGATGATTTCGTCTTCACTAAAAACTGTAGATACCCGAGTGTTTTGTACCATATTTGACACTGGCTGGAATAAGATTTCTTTCCACTCATCTTTTGTCTTCTAACTTGACACTCGTAAGGTCCAAGCGTTCGAGTGATTAGGTTGTACATGGCATATCAAGACTTAAAGTTAGAGATATAACACTTGATTATAATTAATTGTTACTAATGAATTTTATAACGGGATATTTGGTTACTTACGGGTGATGCGATGATCATGTTTCAATAGGTGGATTTCACAGCCTCAGTGACTAACTTATACACACATAGGTTGGACAGGACAAAACGAGTCCCTCTAATCACTGAAGAGATCTCATCAGTAATTAAACTATCGAGGCTAATATCGGTGAAGTGTTACAGATTTTCTTAACTACAGATGTATAACTGAGATAGCACATCATACAGTTACCAAAACCTACACTATACGAAATCCGACCAGGACATCTTATCTTAATTTTCTAATCTATAAAACTTAATGAAATACAATATTTCCTACAAATAATTTTTTTAATGAAAATTTTGAAACCATTTTATTTTTTAAATATTAATTAGGTAGTAAGTTAGATAACTTACTGGTCAGTGTATGAATATAAACTTTTGGTGACTAAATTCAGTATACAATTTATTCAACAACTTACAGGTTTATAAACTCGACTTTGAGAGGTTAATTTCAGAAAATAATAACTTACGATATGATTTCGTGTCCAAACCAAAAACGAATGGTAGGGTTTTAACATTTGAACCTTCAATTAATTGGTTTAAAGTCAAGTTTTTTTTGTTTAACCACCTAAGTAGTCAACGTGGAGGCCATTACCACAATTACCAAAGCAATTTTTGCAGCAGCTCATACAAACTTTAATTGATAACACGTAGATAAAAAACCAAACGATGTTGCTATCCGAATATCTACTAATGCTACTATCTTTATAAGCTAAATTTGGACAAGATCAGTATTCTCTTGATAAGTAACATTAAAGTATAAGTACATAGAGATACATCTTATTCATTATGGATTGAGAAAGTCCACAGGATAAGTTAACATATATTATTATTATAAGTTTATATTATCATAATGTGAATAATCAATAAGGCACGATATATAACACGTGTTCGCGAACTAAACATCCACTTGTAATACTAATTGCAGCAAACAAATATATTTATCATCATCTTGCCCATTTGAAAAAAACAACAAAATATTAAACAAACGATTATTGTTTTGCTAAACAGAGATCAATAGCACACATAAGCGCGTATGTATACACCAGAGGCACTGCACTACAATCAGATGACTGAATGCGAAATTAGTGTGATATATATAAAGTATGCACATATTAGTGCCACGTAAGGAATAAGATGAAAGATTTTCTACAAACCTTTAAGATTAGTAATCTATGTTGGCACAAAAATCCACACACAAATTGACTATGTCCTAGTTTTGTAATCAGGCAGAGGAATAAAGAAAAAACATACCTATTTACATATATAAGTATTGATTGAGTAAGGAGAAATGGATATATACACGAAATGATGGTGAAAAATAAGAACATTTATACTGGTGGTTAACATGGTGATATTTTAGTTAAGAGTATACTATCTTCATACCTATATTTTCAGTATAATCGGCTAACAAATAAATGAACAAGTATAATAAGTCCATTACATGAAATTAAATTGATATTATAAGTGATTGAGTCAGTCAATCAATCATAATCAACGCAGAATCTAGCACAGATGTGAAATGTTTCAACTTGACATACCACACTAGAAAGATGAAATGAAACTAACAAGATAAATTATAAAATAGTCCGAATAATGGAATACCAATGATAATAAGAAAAACTAAGTATTCAGAATATATAGTTCTCGAGAAGACAGGATAAAAAGGTGTGATATGAAGGAATACTGGAATTAAAGACGTAGAGGGAATGGATCTGGTTCATTATGATCGATTCTCAGATACGTTAACCAAAGTCTTCAACCGTTGGTTACAATAACCACGCAGACACCAATTAAGTGGTTTGGTATCAACGAACATAGCTCAGACCAACAGTCGATGACTTCATGGATTAATGCCATGTTTTGACTTGCTTGCCCTTAGCTTCCAACTTACTCCTAAAGTAGCATATTTGCCTATTATCAAAAAAATGTACACGGTACACCAGTTTGTTTTATATTGGCTTCAAAGTTATAAAAGGTACATGAGATATATGTAGGTTAACCCATTATATTCAAACACAGATGAAATGGCTTCTAGACACTGGTCTTGTGTGATAAATCCATTGAGTGAGATTAAAATTAAACGTAGAATATTATTAAACAAAGTTGATAGATCGGTTTATTTATTTCAACACATAGATAATGGTACAAAGAGGCACCAAATACATATGCGCTACACACATCTCATTCGATATGTGTGAGGGCTGTGATACTGCCCGGGTGCCCAAACTGAAGCAGGTGGTTTTCTTAGGGGGTCACACCCCGAGCCTTCGACCTGAAGGTTTGATCCACAAGGCAGTGGAGCATCGTAAGGAGATGCAGTCCCATGGAAGCCGGTGACCAACAATTGGTTCATACGCCATTTGTTCCCTCAGGATACTGGAGCCCATGTACACCATTGGTTTGGAATCCGGTTAAAGCGCCGGACATTCGCTTTTCGTCCTCTCATTTTCGTAAACAACACACCCGCTACGAGAAGGCAGTGAGTAGGACTTCCCTGGCAGAGGCTATATACGCGTGGCGGTGTGAGAGCAATTCGAGAGGGGGAGCGGACTCTCCTCACTCTCGGCCGTACCAGGGTTAGTAAGACCGTACATCTCCAGATTTAATAGGTTAATATATGAGATACACCACCGATCGATGACAGAAAAGTGCTGCGCTGCTAAATTCAGAATGAAACGGAAAAAGGTTACAGGAGGCAACATAACAAATAGCATTCCTTATCATTTGGTTTCTTTTCTGCGGATTATTACCAATTCTATGTGCCAAGGTATTAATAATACAATGACAGATTTTAAGGATTGGTTTACCATCCAATAAAAATCATATACTTATATTCTTTTCAATTTGCCTAAAAAGGCTGAACTGAATAAAATAAACTCATTAGTCAGGCACGTTGGTGTGTATGAGGCATACTCTAAAAGTGAAGGCTAATAATACTACCCGGTTGCCCAGACCGCATTAAATGGAGTGGAGTTCATACCTAGGACTTAGTGGCCGAAATTCGAATATCTTGATCACTAAGCCACCACTTCATAATCTGCCTTAATTGTAAACTTAACAAGTAACTTAGTAAGAAATATGAACATCTATTCTATATCTTATATTTAACGAGTGACAGAATCAGTACCTGGTATGTGAGTCTATTTCTTATGTAAGTATAATGTGGACTAACCAAGTTGACTGTATAGTATGTTCATTCAGTAGCATACCATCGGGATTACTTATGAAATTTCTAAGATTTGCCGGATATTCTAAAAGATGGGTTTTTCACAATTGTATTTACATTATTTGCTATCTGTATAAGGCTCATTTGAGTTACCTTTATGTAACATTACTTGAAACTATTTCTTTATTGTAAATGATTCAGAATTTTAACTATCATCCATTCTCGTTAAAGCATGAGTTAATCAATTTCACGACCCCATCTGTTATATTGACCGAATATATATATATATATATATATATATATATATATATATATATATATATATATATATATATATATATATATATATATATAGGTTAGGTGAAAAACACTCATTTTTCCAGTTAAACAGAATTCAAAAACAAGACAAATCATTACTTTTACGATTATGAGATATTATCTGAGTAGTAGTATATGAAGAAAAAGATAAAGATACTTACCTGAAATGAACATGTTAAATTCTCATCTACAGACATCATACCACCGGCATTATCAAATTCACCGCAATAATTTGGTGCAGAAAATAAGGTTACTAACTGACGGCGACAGAAAAATTCAAAACCATCTTCAACTACTTGATGCGCTCGACAAATTAAATCCATATCATGTCGGTTGAGAAACTTAGTGACTACATCTGGACCGAATGTGAAACTCACACCACGATCATTTTCAGCCCAACCATTAACATCTTTATCAGGATCTGACCATAAAATATCGCATAAAAGTCCTAAAAAAAGTGCGTAGTACAGAAATTAGAATTAATCAGTTAATGAGTGAAATATAACAGATTAATACATTTCAACAAGATAAATCTTAAAACGTTGCTACAGTATGTTAGGACTATCGAGTGATGTCGGAGTTATATGCAGGATATTAGGTATGGATAAGAAACTGGTTGATAAGGCTATCAATCTTTATGAACTGAGGTAGTTAAGAAATGTATCAAGCTTGCTTAACCACAGCCAACCTTAACGTGGGATGCCAGCTGGTGTAGGAGTACGTTGAGAGAGGTGACCAATCCAAGGCGTGGTACCAAACTCACTGTTGAACTGAGACTTTAAGTAAGTGTAGACTACTTCACTAGGGTTCTCGCGATTACCGTAACAAATGTTAGAGATGTGTTGGTGGCATTGCTTAGAACCAGTCACAATAGAATAGACATACTTAAGCTGTCTTAAAATACGTACAATTTCGATTCCGTGAATTCATTTTCTCCTCTGAAATTGTATAATATTTTCTATTATCACTAATACAGTTACTATTTCTACTATTCAGGTGCACATCTTGATGATTTCATCTTTCTACACAAAAGTGATGTGGCAACTTGGACCGATGCAAACATATTGCTTATGATTGACATAAAGACAAAAACATCATCGCTATTAGCACGAAGCGCTAAAATATCATTTTTAAATAAACGTTAAAATTTTTATCGAAATATTTCGAACCACTAACTAAAGTCGAACTAAAGTACCAAAAATTCATTTAAGCGTTTTATTATAACTACCAAAAAAGGCATTGGATAATGCAGTTATAAAAAGTAGGAAAAAATCCAAATAGAATGACTTAATAAATCAATAAAGTGCCAAGGAAAATAAGTGCTTTACTTATTTAATTCTGTTAATCATAAAAAAAGCAGAACTTGGGCACGTATGTGGATCGCCTGAAGTTCTTACACGATATCACCAGAGAAATATGAATATGAAATTAGCAGAAATAGGAGTAGAAAACACTATGCATGATTCGAGAACAAAGGTTGAATTCTCTGAATAAAAAGCATAATAATCTTGAAACTTGAGATCTAGGTATAAACAAAGAAGGAGTGGATTTGTGTCATTCTGACAGATTCTGAACTATGTCGTAAAGCTTGTCCAACCATTGGTCACAAAAATCATATGGATTCAAACCAGGTAGCCTACACCTACCTATATAGATCAGAAGAACAGTTAATGACTTTATGGACTGACGCCATGCTTCATTTAGGCAGTGCATAGCTTTCTCACAACCTTTTTATGACAGTATTAAGGTAGACCATAGTTGGGCATATGTAACCCGTATCCTAACTACCCTGGTCTGTTTCATAAAAACTATCCAACAGTTGGCTGATTATGTGTACCCGGAGGTTTAACGGCTGAGCGAAGATGTAAATCAACCAAAACTAAAGATGACATAATATTATCTTTTTAGTTCCAGAGATTACATTTAGGTTATTTCATGAGTTTTATTTATCTATCAGTAAGGATTATTTATGAAAACCAGTAATGAAAACAATAATTATTTAGACTGGCTTCAAAACATTTGTTCATTAGAAATCGAACTTTTTCAGTATACAGGTGTGATAAAGAAAAGTATGAGCAAATACTTGACAAAACAAACATCGAAAATAAGTTATATTTGCAAAACTCAACAGGTTAAGCTGAAACATCTAATTGATACTTTGATGTATGGTGATATGTTAAACAGATATGCATTGTTTTTAAATACACTTTTTATTATCAATATTGTAGAATTGTTAGCAGGATATATATTGAATTAAAGCATGTTCCATGAAGAATAGTGTTGAATCACGCTAACTGGCCGTTTATTAGCCAATCAGCCGTAGCAGATAAATGGAGAACTCTAGAATCTTTTCGTGTAGAATAATAAATATACTAACGTTTTTGGTACTGTGATTGTTACTCCCATTAAACTAGGGTTATTTGGAATATAATTTCTCCCTTGTTCAAATTTTTTTTCGGATTTGGCGACTAGTCAAGTGAAGTAGTGTCCGAAGAAGGCTAAGCAATAAGATTAGCTGGGTTATATGAAAAGAGATATTAACAAGAATTATTGAAAACTTCAATTTACAAAAAAAGATAACTAGTTTGTTTCAAAAACAAAATAATGTTCATCTGCACCTGGCTTATAGCACCGCCAACACTCATATAATCAAGTGGAAAAAATCAACAACAAATCAGTAACGGCTCTACCACTACTACTCTACATGCATAACACATAATAACAAACCTGTATCAGGAATATCTGACGGTCTCATGATACGTCGTATTTGATCCATATTTTGCAAATCTGGAGATAATCCTGACACCATGCAGTGTGATGTAAGGGAGACAAAGATGAAGAAAAATATATATAACGTATTAACTAAACAGAATCAGTTAGATAAAAAACAAACTGACGAATTGAATAAACTATAAAAAGAATAGATAATATTTAAAAAGGTGAACTTATCGGGTTAATAAAACAATATCTCAAGTGTCTGAGAATTTCGATATAGAGGACAACCAGTCGTCTATGAATACCTTTGTAAATTTTCACAGACGCTGAGAAACGCTTAAGTTATATTTGGTCAACGAATACTTATGCTAAAATTCTGAAAGGAAGTACTCTGAGTTCTTACTTAATCTAACTTAAAAATTATCACTACATCTAGCATAATTTTTAATTATCAATACAGGGTTATGGAGATTGTCAAACTCTATCGATATCACAAACCGATCAAACTTAAGTAACCACTGAAAACCCGAAAGCACTGAGGGTTCGTTTCGTACTGATAAGGGAAATCTCAGCAGTACGCATGCACACCATAGTAGTCGAATTTCTTCGAGATAATTCTTATGCCTCGTATATCACTCGTCTTGATAACCTTCAGTAGATAACTCCCAAAGGTCTAAAAAATTTAACAAGACAACACAGAGCCATGAACACGTTTATTCTTGCACAGCACTCACTACTCACTGCCTTCTCGTGGCAGGGGTGTTGTTTACGAAATTGAGAGGACGAAAAGCGAATGTCCGGCGCTTTGACCAGGTAGATGGACACAGAAGGTTCACCTAGGGGAGTTCGAAATTCCTGATTCCAAACCATTGGTACACATGGGCTCCAGGATCCTGAGGAAACAAATGGCATATGAAGCAATTATTGGTTACCGGCTACCATGGAACTGAATCACTTGACGTTGCTCCACTGCCTTGTGGATCAGACCTTTAAGTCGAAGGCTCCGAGTGTATCTCCCTAAGAAAATCACCTGCTTCGGTCTGGGCACCCGGGCAGTATCGCAGCCCACATACAAACCAAGTGACTTGTGTGGCGCATATGTATTCGATACCCCTTTGTACCAATGTTTGTGTGTTCAAATAAATAATTCTTGCAAAGAACACATCACAAAGCTCAAACACACAAAACCAATACGAACAGAAATGTTAACGTGAATTAATGCGGACGAACGAATGAGTGCAACTTAAGGGCCACATATCTATCAGCAAGCGAATGAGACACGAGTGATTTGATCAGCTAACATTCAAGCTGGTAAGATGGATGAATATGTGTGTAGGCTGTAACATGTGATCAAGCATACATGATTGCGTAAACATAACGATAACAATAATAATAAAACAAAGATATCAACGTACTGTTACTGACTGAATGATGCTGTTTGTTAAATGAGTTAATTGAAAGGCTTAACAATACTCAATATATAAAATTTAACTGTAAGTGAAATACCACACTACCCGACCCTAGTTAAATGATCTAGAGGTCCTGGGTTCGGTTCTCGGTGGTAGTTTCGTGAATACACACTGCAGAGGAGTCCCGTATTAGGGAAACGAGCAATCAGTGTTTCCAGGTTTTGAATGATTACCCAACTTACACTGGATGATGATATCAATGATTATTATTTTACGGATTGCAAGGTCATCCACAAAATCTTGAAGTAGATCCCTAATTTTATAGCTGCTGTTTCGTTTATTTGGCAGTCCAGGTTTGCCAGACCAGTGAGTGTGTTTTCTGACAATGACCCTTGCTCTCATCTAATTCCCTTATTTACCTTATATTCAGTTATTTTGTTGCACGGTCGACAGAATTGGTTGACCAAATTCACAACATATATGCCGATTCAGTTTATTCCGTTGAGCTTTTTCACTATTCTCTGTCTTTTCGCCCAATTAGCTGGTTTGGTTCACGTATAGGATGATTGGGTATCACTGTTAGACTCGGACAATGTACGCCATAATATAAAATTTTAGATCCAATCTAAATAATTTACAAAAAAGAACCTACCACCATGGCAACAAAATATTTTTGAATCTACAATTGCAGCGATTGGTAAACAGTTAAAACAATCAGTGAACGTTTTCCATAATCGAACACTGAAACGTCGTTTACCTGGAAAGTTAGAAAAACGTTTATCTTAGTCGAAACATGCAACATATTGTATCATAATCTTAAAATAGTGTTTACTGTGCTAATATATCATTTGAACCATGGATTCCACTAATTTGGAGTTCGGATAACAGGATAGTTGCATAATCAACCATTATGCATAACAGCGTGACATAAAGTCGAGTGGTACGAATTCTTAGAGGGCAAGCTTTTTCAAGAATTAGATTGAAAAAAGGATTAAACTACGCTTATATATATGATTTGAGGATATTTGCATCGAGAATCTTCAAATGAATCATTAATAGTAACTTGGCCTAATTAACTGTCGTTAATGATTGTCTTTACGATCAACTATGTTTGCTACCTTTGACAACACAATGAAATTGAGCCTAATGATCGTGTATAACCCACATTTTTGGACTTAAGATCCTCAGACAAAAATAATAGCGATGGCTTATTTTACAACAGCTGTTAGTGAACAGCTTTCGATCTCCCGCTCTCTCCTCCTACAACTACTTAAGTTTAAGCAACCAGGTAGTACCATTGGTGCTGTGTTCCAATGTATTCTTCTGAAAAGTTTATGGGGAGCCATGAGACGCTAGAAAACATTTTATGCAATCAGAGTTGAATAGGAGCCTCTCAGAAACATCTAGGAGGCGAAGAGTCATGTGCCATATTTCTGATTGGATATTTACCTGTCGCTACTATATTTAAGGTGGTTCCAGTAGCTTCCACAAGCCCAAGGTCGGCCGTAATACGACATATCCTCTTTTTTCTGTACATAAACTAACCTTGGAGTAAAGCGTCCTTTACACACTTCACACCTTTTTTCTTGCATTCAAGTTGCCTTGCAGATTTAGTTACTATTACACTTTTATTACAGAAGGACTTAAGCAACTTAAGCATTAATGGTCTAACAAATGGACACCACGAACCAAGTTTAATGTAATGACCATAATGAAGAGAACTATAACTAAATAGTAGCGGTTTTATTTCTATGTACGTTTTCCATCTATTGTTAAAATAAGTAACGATAAAATCTGTGTAACCTTAAACCATCTGGAGCATATACAAGATATTATAAAGTTATAAGTCCAAAGCAATGACAGAAGAATTATAGAAAAGCTGTCTATGCGACCAGTTCACTGTTGATGGCACACAACTGTCATAGCTATCTCTAAACATTCTACTAGTTACTTTAGAAACGAATTTCTTTCGCACATATTAAATTACTGGATCACAATATGTAAAAGAATCGGAAGATATTTCGAGTTCTGAAACTGATTGATTATAAATTCCTAACTGTTTAAGCCAATGCAGATGAACGGTCAATACAAAAAGCATATAAAAAGGGTTTAGGTGCCGGGAATTACCATTCGTTTATACAAAAAGCCGATTTAGATACATCAAACTTTTGGTTATGTACATGAGCGATCTGTAAACTATACACCGGAATGTAAATCGGATTCCAAAAAACATATATCCTCAGTGTTCTATTGATTAGTGATGTATTTCTGACTGCTTTCACACTCTAGTAGAGGGATCACTAAAATCCTTATGAGACGCTTCCTTTTCTCAACTTAATGGTGAACAACGAATAGTATTTGAGACTTGAGTAAACAGAAGATCTGCAGTTTTTGTGCTTGTCTACTGAGTTGCGACAGTCTTCAGTTGACAGTATACCAGTTAACGAAAACTAATGAAGTATAACTACTATCTATGATCACTTTGTTGAAATCCCAGTTTTTAATCTATTAGTTGATAACGTCGTGAATAAAAGCCATCATATTAGACAAACTTTATTTATAGATGGTGAGTAATGTTTGATGTCTTAGTCGACCTAAATTTTGCAATAAAAATCACAGCATTTACGAACATCAGGTTAAAAAGTTTATCTGAATAATAACATTGTACGAAATCATAAACGCGAGACTGACTTGTGAAAGATTAGCGAAAATCAGACTATGAATGATTGTAAGATGTTACAGTTCATGTTAGGCAAATATCTACCCAACCTAATAACAAGTGACAGATAGTAAAGACAACGTAACGACTAGAAAAATGAAAATACTGTCGAGTACTCATTTTCGAATGTAATGAAATATATATGAACATTCTACATCAAGTAACCATTAAAAATAATATACAAATGAAAAATGTCACTAGTCTGAAACATGACCGTAAACAGTATAACTTGACAGAAACCCCTTTAAACTCTATTGCTATCAACTTAGCGGTACTGCCAAGTTTTTCAGGGCTAAACAGAATTGTGTTTTGAAGAAATTTGTTTGAAATGCCAGTAAACTCCAACTATCGATAGTCAATGAGAATAAATATTTCATGTACTATGAAAAAACTTTGGTCCTTAAACCCATAAATTGCTGCAGTTACAACATATATAAACGCTATGAAATGAGATATAACACAAATAATGCATTAAACATCAACGAATAAAAAGTACTTATTGATCATTGTTACTTACATTCATCATAAAATCCATATATCCGATTAATAGCAGCACATTCATGATTCCCACGAAGAAGGAAAAAGTTTTCTGGATGCTTAATTTTATACGCAAGTAGAAGGCAAATAGTTTCTAAGCTCTGCTTGCCTCTGTCCACATAATCTCCAAGAAACAGGTAGTTAGATTCTGGAGGAAAACCACCATATTCGAAAAGACGTAATAAGTCTGTGTATTGGCCGTGAATATCACCTGCAGTAATGCGCATCGACATTAATTTACAACAAACAGGTAAAACAAAAGATGTATGAATTTGTGCGTAATGAAACAAGCCAGAAATATTGTTTGCATACTTGTTTACAACTGCATATGAGAAAATGTCATCCCTGTTCCGCTTACTACGAATTAAAGTTGCAATAGTATTAGTAGCTTTTCATATCTTAAAATCAACCAATTGATTGGCGTCGCATAAAATTACGAGAGTGAGACGGAATTTACCAGATGGGGATCCAGCTTCCGAACTTTATATTGCTCTGGCAACCCAGGACTACCATTACCGAATATTAATGCATAAAATCTACCATGATTTGCTGCTTCACTAAGATCATAGCTCGTACCTCGACTCAGTGGTCAAGCTTGTACAGATATTAGAAATCTGAGTTAGTGAAAGTATTTCTGAAAAATATGGGACAATGATCCAATCTCAACCCAGGAGACTAGAATGATGGGTAGACTACTTTGAAGAACAGTTTAGCTGCTGTATAGCTACCCTTGAATCGGATATCAGAATAAGCCCTCCAACTCTTAAAGAAAAAAAGGCATAGCTAGTCTAAAGCGAGGAATAACAATAAGCAATGATGGACTAGCCTCAGAGATCTTTAAGAATAGTGGTCCAGTTTTGGCTACTAGACTTACTGATATCGTAGATAGTCTGGGAACTGGACATAATCCTACTTGGCTGACCTCGGTCGCTGGTCGTCCCAGTCCCAGATGATATAGTTTTTTGGTGAGGATACGGAGAAAACGTGGTTTCCTAATTGCCGACAGCAACAATGGTAACATGTTTGGCATGCATTTCTCTCGCTCTAAAGGTAAAACGTTGCTTTATGACTAGTCTGCGTTAACGCTTGAATTATTTATTTATTATTATTTATTTGAACACATAAATATTGGCACAAGAGGGCACCAAATATATATGCGCCACACAAAACAATGAGAATTCGAAGAGAAAAAAAACAATAACGAAGAGACTAGTGTATGGTAGTGTAATAATAATAATAATAATAGTAATAGTATTAATGGGGGAAACGGAAAGGTACAATGGCAAGAAATCTTTCAGTTAAGGAAGAAACAACCACTTTTTTATGAAGAAAGCAAAAGAAGGTTACAGCACGATCGCCACTGGCTTCTATTCTGAGCCACGTCTGATAACGCCTCTAGCCACTGTGTTGCACTATCTCTAGGACCCCAACTAGGGAGTCGTGAAGGACCAACAGAAGCCAGTTCTTTGCAGCTTTCCTTCATACCACTACACCATGTCATACACTGATCCCCCCTCCGCTTCTTCCAACCAGTCCCGGCGTCGGCAAATAATACACGACGAAGAATTCTCTGGGACGACATTCGGAGAACATGTCCAAGCCACCGAAGTCGGTGTTTCAAGATGGTGACACCAATTGCATTATCATCTCTGTGACCGAACACACGATACCGAACCTCTGCATTATTAACATGGTGTTGCCACTGGATGTCAGCAATCCTTCGGAGACAACGATGATCGAACACAGAGAGTTGTCTAACGTCCTCAACTCGGGGAGGCCAGGTTTCACAAGCATAGAGCAAAACTGCTCCTTCTTCAATAGACAATCCCAGAGAACAGTCCTATCCAACGAATCGAAGGCAACCCTGATGTCAAGAAACACTACGATTGTTGGCCTTTGATAAGTATGGCGTTGTTCTGAAATTTGGTGGAGGGTGAAGATAGGATCAATACATCCTCGACCAGAACAAAAACCAGCCTGCTCCTCGCGAGTCAATCTTTCTCGGGTTTTGAACAACCTACGAAGTATGATGGAAGCCAATAGCTTGGACGCAATCGGAAGTAGACTTATCCCCCGATAGTTGTTACAGGAACAACGTGAACCCTTTTTAAAGATATGGAAAACTATCGACTCATTCCATAACGTTGGTACACTCTCTAGCTCCCAAACCTTTTAAACAACGTCGTCAATTCCTTAGTCAGAAAATCACCACCATCTTTAAAAAGAGCCGGAGGTAAGTCATCTGGGCCAGGTGATTTGTAACGCTTCAAGAGTTGGAGTTCCTTGCGGACTTCCGTCTCATTTGGTGGATCAGTCGTCACCGGCCATGGAGGACAGGATAGTCCGACCGATGTTGCCGGAGCAGCAGGCCATTTGAACTGTCCTTCGAAAAATTCTGCCCATCGTCCAAGACGTCGATGGATGTCAGTGGTTGGCATCCCGTCATCCTCGCATATTGTTTCGCTCACACCAGACTTCTTGCTGCCAGTGGCTCGGATGAGTTGGGAGAGCTTCCGGCAGTTATCAGATGCAGCTGCTGCTTCCAGCTCATTAGCACAGTTCGACCACCAGGCTTCTCGGTCCTTACTCAAGCTTTGCCCGATTTCATTGCGTAACACCCTTCGTTTATGGTCAAACTCACGGTCACCCGGAGTAGACCGACGGGCTTCAATGAGTTGTAAGGAACCTGAAGAAATCCAGTGCTTATAAGCAGGACGTTTCGCGAAGCTGCAAGCAGCTTTACTCGCCATTTTCATGACGTCATGAAGTTGCAACCAATGCTCCTCTATACTTTTCGGTGGAATGGTAGCTAGCTTAGAAGCTAGCTCGGTTCGATACTTACTTGCAACAGAAGTTGCAACCAGCTTGCTAACATCAATCCGTTGGTGGCAGTCACTTCGTTGGCAACTGAAAAGTAAGGTAAGATTGGCGCAGACCAAGGCATGATCAGAGTCCAGATAGGTACTCCAAAAGGAGCGGCAGTCTTGTACACAACCACGCCAGCGGCAGCTGATCGCAATGTGATCAATCTGAGTCCAGGCTTAAGATGCAGAGGGAGGACGCCAGGTGGCACATCGGCGATGACTGTGCCGAAAGTCAGTGCTAGCCAGAAACAGGTTGTGGTCTGTGTACAGTTGCAGTAGACGGTCCCCGTTATCTGTCCTGAGACCAACAAGTCTTCGTCGGCCACCTAAACGACTCTCTTCTGTGCCTAGACGCCCGACCTGAGCATTCAATCCTCCGGCTTGTACTACAATATCTGTCGAATGCACTTTCTGGAGAAGAACAGATAACTGGTGGTAAAACTCATCCTTGATTGCATCTGGGCTGCAATCTGTCGAGGCATAGGCGGAGATGACGAAAAGACATCGTTTCTCACGCCGATTTCTTCTCACTTTGATGGAACTTTCTAATCTAACAGCACATAACCGACTGTTAATGGGGATCCAATCGATTAGTGCTGCTTCAGCTCAAGTGCTTAGTGCGACACCAACGCCAGCAAGACCAGACGAAGTTGCCAGAGGGTCCCCGGATAAACGCGTGTAAAACAAGCTTTTTGAAGCGACAGATGGAGATCGAATTTGTAGTACTTCGCCAGAGTCTTGAATACGGGTCTCGGATAGACAACAAACATCGATATTAAGACTTTCCAAAGACATAACCATCCCTATCTGCTATCCGACCTGCATAAGTGTGCGAACGTTGAAGGTAGCCAGTTTTAATGGTGCACGTTGTTTCAGAAAAACTACTTCAGTATTCGTATTTGGTGGTAGCATACAATTTTCAACCAGGCAGTGACTCGAGAACGTTTAGATAGAACCGAGTTTCCACCATAGGCGAGCTGCTGTATAAGTCGAAAAATAAGGATACACAAAGTCGGAATAAAAGAGAGTGAATAAATAACATAGCAAATAGTAATAATAAAAACAATAATAATGTGAATTGTTTGACTGTAAACCGAAGCTGGAATGGATTTTTCAGTAAATACCATCATTTTCATTATCATTATATTTGTGTGTAGACTGTGATACTGGCCGGGTGCCCAAACCGAAGCAGGTGGTTTTCCTAGGGAGCCTCACCCGGAGCCTTTGACCTAAGGGTCTGACCCACAAGGCAGTGGAGCATCGTGAGGAGATGCAGTCTCATGGTAGCCGGTGACCAACGATTGGTTCATACGCCATTTGTTCCCTCAGGATATTGGAGCCCATGTGCACTATTGGTTTGAGATCCGGTTAAAGCACCGGACATTCGCTTTTCGTCCTCTCATTTTCGTAAACAACACCCCTGCCACGAGAAGGCAGTGAGTAGGACTTCCCTGGCAGAGGCTGTATACGCGTGGCCGTGTGAGAGCATTTCGAGAGGAGGGAAGGGCCCACCCCTCTCGGTCATACCAGGGGATTTGGGAGCGCTTCAATTAATGAGCCATAACAACCTAATGGATTGGTGTCTGATAAAATATAGAGACCAACTCAGGAAGTCCGTTTGGCTTGTACTAAATTAGATCACGTTTGGCATAGGCGAGGTTTGTCTGACAACCAAACGACTAGTTGCCATGAAGCAGTCCGCTCCATTCAATTGTATGGCCGTGAAATATGGTTTTTAAAAATGGAGTATATTCGTAAATTACTAGTATTCCATCACGGGTGTTTTCGAGCCTTTGCTCGTATGTTTTGAGACCATCAAGTTAGCAATTCTGAGGTCGGACGCAAAGTATTGAATAAATATGACAAACTGCTTGGCAAAGTCGTGAATCCTTGTTGACTGAGATGGTTGGGACATGTATTTCGTTCTATCATCCACTACCTACCCCACAGACGCTATGATGGCTGGTAGAGTAGGTTAGAACCAAGACATTACTCCAAGGCATAAGTCCATGAAGACAGAAACTACTACCACTTCTATTCTGGGATTCATCTCACGGTGCCAATGAGGTATGGAAACTTGAGTCGATTTACACAGGTGCCAGGTTCCATGTAGCGTATGACTGGCTAACTGGCAGTCAGTCAGCTACAACGTAAGACCAGGCACATATATGCATCGGTCCAAGTTGCCTTACCTTATTAACACAACAAGATGGACACCGGATTCATAAAAGTAGTTAATTCAGAGGTGGTAATATATAAAAGATTGCAATAAGGATATAGTACAGGAAGAAAGAATTAGTTCGTAGAAACTGGTTGTGAAGAACTATCTGTTAATAACAAATGCCACTACATATCTTCATATTACGCTCACAAACGTGTAGACACGCAGACGGAGATGGATCTGGCTGAAATGTTATCCCTACTAAAAACATAATCAAAACCTCCGAACCTGCTATACCAATGGGACTTGTAAAACATGGACAAATCTAGGTTATCGAAACTTACGGAGTTGAGTACGTCCAACCAAGCCGATATGGTGTTTAGAACAAAGCATAACGATTTATAAGTTCACTATTAACATGATAATTAGGTAATTCGTTACATTCATTAAACCAATGATAGTAAGCTTTGAACAATATATAAAACAGGGCGAAGAGTAAAATAAAACAGTTCAGAACTCTTGGATAAAGTACACTGATATGGGGGTTTAACTAAGACCTTGGAATAAGCACTTATTAAATCAGTTTTGGAGTAAAATTGACATAATGTAATGGAAATGAGCGATCAAAGAACGCCGAAACACTAAGCACTTACAACTGATGCTTGACCTGTATTAAGTTATGCAATCAACCATCAGAAGCATAAGGGGAGATAAGAGATACTCAAAATAATGACGGTAGTAATGAGTCATAGATCATAATTTATTGCGAAGTAGTTAGTTTGGATAGAGTGGTTATATAACTGCTAAAACTCCCAACCGAAAAACTTACCGCAAATTTTCAAAGGAGCTTGTAATTCCAACAGAATAGGTTGTGATAAGAAAATTTGTCGTGAAGTAACACATAGATATCGGACTTCTTCTTCCTTCATATTTACAGTAGTCCCGGGTCTGGATGATCGGACTGAACGTGAAATGAGGATGCTTAAGAGAACTTACCCTCCAGAAGCCTACTAATAAGCTCATCTACGTCTACTTCTGATGTCATAAATAGAGAAATACGACAAGAAGGAAACTTTTAAAATCCCTAGAGTCCCGCAAACTAAGGTCACAACATAATCGACATGATTAAAAGAAACAGGAACGAAAAAAGTATTGTAAACTAGAACACGTCAAACCAAAACGATATTTTTTTGCTTGAAAGTACTCATAATAAATTTCATAGCACTAATATAAAATGGATTATGAAAGGACGGGAAACCATCCCACCTTCAATCAAACATTATTACCCCAATATTATTCTAAAAAATTCAGAAAGCACATGCATATAGTCCATACTAACTTCAGGTCTGAGTCATTTGCGTCCAGATAACCAGACATTAACAGGTTAATAGCATGAACATAAGGAACTAGTATAACTGATAAAACCCACCCACGGATACCAATAATCTTCTTCAGACTTTTGTTAGTGTCCATCAACTGATACTGCTTAAGAAAACAGTCACACGACTAGAAGAATTCAGTACTTGACAAGAATTAGGAATATCTTTGAGATGACTACTCTACTAGTTGAACTAACATAGTCCTAATGTTCAGAAGACGGTTATCCTAGTTTTTGGCGGGTGATTTATGGATTTTGGATACTGCCAAAGTCTTAGGACAAAACGTCCTAATCAAGCACATAGCCAACCATGCCGTTTCTAATTACTCAAAACTATTCAGCGACGAGTCCTCTATCTGTAGTCAACGATGTTATGCATCACTATCACAAGGTGTGCACTTGTGAAAACATAGCTTTAAGAACTTTAAATAAAAGTGACAGCCGATATGCTTTCGCGATAGATTCGAAGATTATCAGACGCCTGAACGATTCTCCAGAATCCATTCTCTATTGGTTGACAGTAGTGATAACGATGGAAAGTGTATATCTGGCCACCGTTAACCATTATAAACGTATAGAAATCCATGAGGTTATTAGTTTCCCTACATTTATGACGTAATTGACAATATGGAAGTTTTCAACAATATCTTCAAAAACTCTTGACTCAGCTGACTTCAAGTCCTTATAAGTGTGAAAGATATTTCAGGAATTTTCAGATTAAAAACTATAGTTTCTCAATATTCAATTTACTAGTGAGACTTAGGAATATGGCTCGGATCTCTCAATGTTTTATCAGTAATATATTCGGAATCCTTATTTTTCTTCGTGCATACCTTGCCAGTTTCTTTGTTGCAGGTTTGTGAGAGTACCAACATCTCTATCTGGATTTTTTGATTCCACCAACGTAAAAATTAAATTCTTACAATGAAATATCGAATTGTCTGAATAAGTCAACTTGCATGGTTTCTTCAGACAGAATACAGACGCCCAGGTTAGTTATCTACTAGTAGACCAAGAAAGAAATGGTGTGGTAAATTTTAAATGAGGTGGTGATATCAGTTGTCATAAACTGTGTAGGCCATAATGGTGTATTCGAATTGGGATTACCAATTGTAGCGTGGCGTCGAGTGGAGGTTAACTATGAACACCGCTACCAAGAAACACGTGTGGTCGAATTGGGATTACCAATTGTAGTCAATTGTAGCGTGGCGTCGAGTTGAGGTTAACTATGAACACCGCTACCAAGAAACACGTGCCAAGCGAATCAGAAGGCGTAAGAAGCTCGTTCCAAATGACTCCATAAAATCCCCGAGAAGCCGAATATCAGAAGACAGTTAATGGACCAAGTCGAGGTTTATTAGCTGGCGATCTCGTGGCATCGAAAGGATACCGAGATCGTGCCAGGATACAACCTTGGTTACAGAAGGTAACCGAATTCGCGCGAAGTTACAATCAAAGTGTGTGTAAGTGAATGGAAGCCCAAAATAGCTGTCATTAGCACAGTCAAACAAAAGCACATTAAAACAAACACTGGTACGGTTGGTTGTAATAATAATTGTTTTTATTAAACCAGTCGTGTTCTCGTGATAAACGTGAGTCACTACAGGAGCCCCCCGCTAGAAAGGGTTTACACTTTCGATAAATAGCGGTTTGAATCGTGGGACTGATCGGCTGATGAGCGATTGTAGGACGGAAGAATTGGCGAACAGGAAAGCGATCGTTGATCGTCGAGTTGCCAACGAAGGTCGTTATCGGAGAACGGTACCAGGAGCGATGTGTTGTATTTATTGCTTGAGTTGGCATGCTACACCAGAGTGGTTTGTATCCAGAATCTGAAGAGGGCGTTCGTAGAGGTGCGCATCAGAAACGCTGCAGACGTAGGACGAAACCACGTTGAGCCGATGAACCAGAAGCGACCGTTACGACCAAGTTCGTGACCAAGCGTGTGCCAAGCGTTCGAAACCAATATATCGACTGAGTACGTTGACAAGAGCGTGGGTGGCCAATCCAGCTTTCGCCAAAGTTGACTGAAGTCGACGGAACCAAACGGAGATGGTCGAAGGCGTGGGCTCAGGAAACAAAAAGAAAATCAAAAAAAGAAGAGTGTAGCATACGTGTAGTATAGGAATAATCCTACACCGTATCGGTAGTTGACTGTGCGACTATTCGCGGAAGCGTACGGGTAACCGTTCTCGGCGACCGGAACGTGAGACGGCAGTCTCGTTCGCGTCGCGTGAGCCTGCAATCTCATCCGAAGTCAAGGGCGGCGTGGTCTGCTGATCTGGACGTGAGACTGTCGTCTCGTCCGTAGACGGTGCAGATGACGCGTGCTGTTGACTGGGACGTGAGAATGAGGTCTCAGATGCATCTAGCGTGGGACCTGAAGAAGATTTAAGGATCCCGCTAGGTTTGATAGGTCTAGCATTGAATCTCAGGGTGTCAGATAGGGCACTGTCATCGACGTGTGCTGGTTTGAGACGATCAATGCTGACGATCTCGACGCGTCCATATCGATCAACCTTGAAGGTCTTTTCGTGACGAGCGATCACGTGAAAAGGGCCTTCGTAAGGTTGTTGCCAAGGTTTGCGTACCGAATCTACTTGTACAAAAACATGTGAACAGGTAGATAACTCTCGAGGGAGAGCGACCTGTCGATGTTGTATTCGAGTTGACACCGGAGGCAGCGTTCGCATAAATGCAGACAGTCGATGGACGTAGTCTGATTTTCCGAAATTAGGTCTGCTCCGTGGTGTGAAGAATTCTCCGGGCAGACGCAATGTCGTGCCGTATACAAGTTCAGTGGCGGAACATTGGTTATCTGCCTTTAAGCTCGTTCTCGCCCCTAAAAGAACGAGCGGTATGGTTTCGTGCCAGTTGCCGTTTTCGTGTGCTCGTAGAACACTTTTAAGTTGGCAGTGAAACCGTTCAACTTAACCATTTGGTGCTGGGTGGTAGACGGAGATGCTTATGCGTATGCATTCCGTACCAAGCAGCCGGGTCAGCGAGGAGAATCGTTAATAGGGTAACATCTCTCGAATAAAGCGTGGAATTCATCATCACGCGAATAAAAAGTGACTAGGATTCGGTACACATACGTGTGAGTCTATTATATTAAAACTATTCTTATCGTTATCCGTCATGTCGCGTATATTATATATTAAAAATATGAAAATATACGACAGACGTGGATAGATAAATCATAGACTCACCGAATTGGCTTCTTTGGAAGATTTGATCAGAAGTTGAGGCGTGTTCCAAAATACGGGTCACCAATTGTATTCGAATTGGGATTACCAATTGTAGCGTGGCGTCGAGTGGAGGTTAACTATGAACACCGCTACCAAGAAACACGTGCCAAGCGAATCAGAAGGCGTAAGAAGCTCGTTCCAAATGACTCCATAAAATCCCCGAGAAGCCAAATATCAGAAGACAGTTAATGGACCAAGTCGAGGTTTATTAGCTGGCGATCTCGTGGCATCGAAAGCATACTGAGATCGTGCCAGGATACAACCTTGGTTACAGAAGGTAACCGAATTCGCGCGAAGTTACAATCGAAGTGTAAGCGAAAGAATGGAAGCACAAAATAGCTGTCATTAGCACAGTCAAACAAAAGCACGTTAAAACAAACACTGGTACAGTTGGTTATAATAATAATTGTTTTTATTAAACCAGTCGTGTTCTCGTGATAAACGTGAGTCACTACAATGGTACTGAGCACGTCGTGTCTAGCAAGGGTAGTGTGTAGCAAGCAAAACAAACTCTATGCATTTTGTTGACAATTTGGCTATCAAGAGATGTGAACTTATCGTGAGCATCTTCTCCGTGTTCCCGGTTGATCGATCGCAAAGTAGCCACTGAATACTAAAAATCCCACAAGCATTTGGAGTTTGACAACACCTTTACCAGTAACAGCCTGTATAAGCAAAGCGTACCAACCCAGTGAAATCAGAAGTCAGAAGTGTAGGGGCTCGAAGATATATTTGATAAAATATCGATATATCGAGAAGTGACTAATCTAAGATGGCTAGCGGTTTTATGGGAAGTGAAGCAAGGCGTGAGGATGCATAACCGATCACCTTCAGCTAGGTGAGTCCTTAAAACTAATGAGGTCAGCAGCAAATATCAAAACCCTTAGAGCTATAAATTTTAAGGGATTATTTGTATATAACTTGGAACCACAAGGACTGAGGTTTTACGTACAAACCCTGAATAACAAGTTAAAGCTATAGAATATGTTATAACGAAACATCACAAAGACCATTTGAGGAACAGGACTGTTAATCGTCGGAATATCACTTATACGTCGGGAAACTTGTCTTACTCGAATGATCACGGGACCATCGTGTTTATGGCACTATGGTTTAAGTTGGCTGTGATTAACATAGACGCGAAAAATCAATGGGCCTTCGGGTTGCCCTATGAGAACCTGAGATAAATGAAATCATGAAATGCCCTTAATTGTGTTTTTCACTCTTGGTTTAAGTTTCTTTAGAGAACGGCGTTACACGTGGGTGTATGGTTTTGCAAAAAGTCCCACATGTACGCATCTTACAAAACAATAACTCTTTGCTCTTATCCCTAAATGCGAAGTTGTTATTTTCGGTTAGTTTGTTGGCATACTTCTTTTCTGACCCTAGGTGTGATTATAATAATCGATTTGGCTAGCG